TTATATACAGCAGGGTGTGTATGTTAATCCCAAATTAGTTTTGTTTTTGAAAAATCCTGGTTTACACAAAAATGAGAACAAAAGATCCGAATCTATTTGTACGATAAGGACTGCTCATATAACGTAACTGTTTGATGGGTTTCTTCAAGCATTATTAAATTCCATGCATTTTGGGAAGAAGAAGCCCCAGATATCCAACTTTGCTCCTTCCCTGGGTTCCTGGAACTACCTGCATGAAGTCTCACAGCAACTCCTGTCACATGTTAAGACCCACCCTTGGATGAGGAGATCCTGAAGGCAAGAGCTGTCTCATTAATCCTTATATCCTGGGCACTATGCTTAACGTCTGACAGTAAGAGGGCCTTGGTTATTCATTGAATGCATAAATCCAAGATGCCCTGTTCCCCTATTTCTCAACTGCAGAACGTCATTAATTCAATAGTTTAACCATAGATTCAACTGCTCAGTATACAGAACTAGCCAACTCTCAGTCAGCAGGACTGTCTGTAACTCTAACTGTATAGACCTTAAAGCTCCAACACAAATGATACAAAACATTCCACTATGCAGAGAATTATAAGAATTTTGAATTTTAGACTTTGATTTGAGGAAGGCAAAAGTTTTACTACAATCCTCCCAAAATTTTTTTTGATCAGTCCAAAGGTGGTTAGGAACAAGTGTCAGAATTAAAACTTCAGCAGGCTTGTTTTGTTAGTTTCTAGAACTTAGGGTTTGCATTTGTCTCAGAGTATGTATAAAACATCATAGCTGGGCTTCCCTGGTGGCGCAGTGGTTGAGAGTCCGCCTGCCGATGCAGGGGAGGCGGGTTCGTGCCCCGGTCCGGGAAGATCCCACATGCCGCGGAGCGGCTGGGCCCGTGAGCCGTGGCCGCCGAGCCTGCGCGTCCGGAGCCTGTGCTCCGCAACGGGAGAGGCCGCAACAGTGAGAGGCCCGCGTACCGCAAACAAACAAACAAACAAACAAACAAAAAACACATCATAGCTACTCTCATGATCCTTTTAGGACAGTTCTGGATCAATGATTTTGATGGTTTTGATAAATATGTGTGGTCTGCTAGATTTATGCTTCTTATTACTGATTGGGGGCCAGATAATAACTCTAAAGGGCACATTTCTAAAAACTATCCATGATTAGGGTAAACGTTAGGAATGCGAGCCATGGAACCACTAAAATGGTGTTAATTTGCATGTAAATCCCATTGAGGTTTCTGAATCTAGTGTTGGCTGATGACAAAGTAGACTCATTTCCACATGCAGAGCCCTTCCTTCACTGGAATCTGCAGGAACTCTCAGTGTGTGTTTGCGAGTATCACACACGTATTCTATGAATTTCTGAATTTCTCTTTTCCACGTGCAATAGGAAACAACCTATGGTGTTTTGTAAGGAAAAGGCAATAGGAAATGCCTGCCTTATAATCTGTGCTTCCTGGCAGAGTATGACACTACTTTGAGGGTGAATCCAACAATGCTAGGGCTGGAAGGAAGAAAACTAACCATTTTATTTAATCCTTCATTTTATGGATGAAGAGACTGAGCTCCAGAGAGATAAAATGACCTTCCTCCTGCCTGGTGATTGGCTGGGTGGCAGGACCAACCCAGATCCCTGTTCTTAAGAGCAGCACCCATTCTATTCACCAAATCCTGCCCCTTTAATCAGTTTAAGTTATGTTTTTGCGAATACTTATTATAATGATTAGGATGATGCTGTAACAGAAAAAAAGTAATGCTAAATCATCTCCAAATGTTATCATTTTTAAGAACAAATGGGAGTAATGAAACACTGCTGATAAGGTGCTATGGTAGGCCAAATAATGGTCTCCCAAAGATGAACACATAACTATTCCCCAGAATCTTTGATTATGCTACCTTACACGGCAAAAGGAACTCTGCAGATGCGATTAAGCTGACGGTCTTGAGATGGATAGGTTATCCTAAATTACCTTCATGGGCCCAAAGTAATCACAGGAGTCCTTATAAGTGAAAGAGGGATATGAGAGATCTGGAGTGACAATGGAAGCAGGAGTCAGAGAGACGTGATTGCTGGCTCTGAAGATGGAGGAAGGGGCCATGAGCTAAGGAAGGAGGGCAGAGCCTCTAGAAGTTGGAGAAGGCAAAGAAGAAAGTTCTTTAGAAACTCCAGAAGGAAGACAGTCATGTTGTGTTTCAAGCCATGAAATCTGTGGTAATTCGTTGCAGCCGCAGTAGGAAACAAATGCAGGTGGTCAGGTGGTCAGGGAAGGCAGGGAAGGCAGCTGAGACCTAAAAGCTGAGAAGGAGACAGCTGTGCTAAAATCGTAAGGAAGAGAGCCCCAGGCATGGGGAACAGCACAGGCAAAGGCCCTGACGGCAGGAATGAACGGGACCTGCTCAAAGAAGGGAAAGGAGGACAATGTGACTAAAGTGTAGTGAACAAGAAAGGAGGGCAGGTGAATGGCCTCAGGAAGCAGAGGTCCCCCTTACTGCCTTTGACAACTCGGAGCCCGCCAGGCTACGGAGCTACATGGGCCACGGTTCTCCCCCTTCTCTGCTTCATCTGAGCTTTCCTGTTGAGACTTAGCAACCTGACCTTGTGTCATTCGGGCACCCTCCTCTTGGTTTCTAGCCACTTCAGAAGATCATAGATGTTCAGGGTTAGAAAGAAACCTCAGAGACCATAGGTCCCATGGCTCATACAGGACAGGAGACCTCTTATATCTTCTCTGCCCACTGACAGTCCAAACTCTGATTCCACTTCTGCTTTGAATCCATTCCATTGATTCAGATCCATTTCTCTTGGCACTGGCCACCAGCTCCACCTGTGTGTTATCGCAAACCTTATATGCTTATTCTCCATTCTTATGCTCAGGTCGAGGATGGAAGCATCCAACTTGGGGACCCAGTAGAGCCTAATCTGTGATGACATTTATTTTGACACCTTTGGCTGAATGGAGGGGTGCAAATGAGATCATCAAATGGAAAGTGCTACTCTGGGCGAACAGAGAACCCAGGTGTGTGCTGAGATGTGTGATGGGTCCCATCACACCCAGCTGCTCAGAGTGGCCTGTGCCCTCTGAAAAGTGCCAAAGGCTAGTGTTTGCCAGGAGTAGCTCATTGTATAAGGGCTACAGTGGCGCAGAAGGAAAGAGAAGCAGCAGCTAACACTTATTTAGTGCCTACTGCATAGCAGAGATCTGCACAAATTTGTCTCGGTTAAGCCTCACGGCAACTTTTCTATCACCATTTTACAAGTGAGGAAGACAAGGCTGAGGTACATTTGTCCATGACGGAGCTAGACCATGGAGCCAACTTTTGTCCTTATTATTCCATCCTTGTATATCTTTTGCCTATCTTATCCATCACCAGAAGGAAGTAAAGCTAGATGTTTTTTATAGTTATAAGATTTTACTTCAAAACTTCTTAAGGGCATCCTTTGTGTTCCTGACTTCTTACCCATACTCTCCTATATATTTATCTTCACACCAAGGATTTTAAAATTATACATAGATATTCCTCTGCCCCAAGGCGTGAAATTTGTCATTTCACAGAATTATCAAATTTTATAACGAAAACTGGTCCTATTTTATGGATAAGTACACTGAGACTCGGCACAACTAAATGCAGCCATACAATAAGTGCCACAGCCAGGGCGAGAACCGAGGTCCTGTTGGCCCAAATCTGGGATCCTTCCCACCAACTGATCTCACCAGACTGGACTTAACATCCTATACCTACTTTAGTCTTAACATCCTGCATCAGTTCACAGCCCTGAGCATCTGTACCATTGGAATCCCCTTCCTTCCCTTTCTTCCATAATAGAGTGTTTCGGAATCCCTACAGTTGGTCCTAAATCCTTTCTGTATAGGGGTATTTGGAAAGGATGAGCGGGAGACCTAAAAGGAATTACTCTCTTCCTCTCTCAAGTCCTGAGCCAAGATGAAAGACAGAGAGTGAGCAGACAGGAGCCCAAACAACACCTTCATTACTGGTCAAGTTGATGTTGAAGAAAATATGGTCCATATTTGTGGATAAGAAGGTTTTCTGTTACTGGCCATGCCCCACTTGAGACACACACCAAGAATGAGACAAGCCCGTGCAGCCACAGGTGGTGCTGGACCACCAGTGAGGGGCCTGTTCTTGAAACATGTACAGCGTGGAGGAGTAGAGGCAGCAGACAGGCCAGCCCAAGAGGCAGACAGACAGGGCTGTGTATACTGAGCTGTCTCCTTCCAAACTCACACAGCAGATGAGCTGTCTTTGCCTGATGAAGAGTAAGAGAGTGGGCGAGAGGGCCCAGGAGGGAGATTTTATGACGGAGCCAAACCCAGCTACCCTGACTAATTTAAACGGAAAGAAAACACACTTCAACGCTGAGCTTTTAGCGATTTACAAAACAATGAAAACCCAATTCCAGGGCAGTTCTCATTTTCACCTCAGTCCTAGTAGATACATGATTTTAATATATAAAATCCTGATGCTGACATTGTCAAACTTCTGTGAGTCCATCTGTAGAGAACACCTCGCTCTAAGCAGCTCAAAGTATTTTTCAGATTTTCTTTCATGCGCTCATCCTCACGGAACTTTTCTCCAGGCAACTGATGGAACCTAATACGTTTGAAGACACTTGAAGACAAAAAATGCAAAGTGAATTTACATTCTGTGTGGTTTTTTTTAATGCTTTCAACACAAAGACTCTCTTTTCTGATGCGATTCTAATGCTTCTCTGCTAAGCACATTTTTTGGCTGTCTTAGCAGCCGCGAACTCTGGATGACATCTGCACATTCTCATCCTGGTGGAAAGGCTGGATTCAGACTCAGGAAGGAGGGACGCAGCATAACACAGTGAGCCAAAGTCCTCAACTGGGATCCGGGAGGCACGGGGGTCTCAGGGTACCCCTTGGGCCTCACTGCCTCACCTGTGAGTGCTGTGGGGCTGGCGCATCCTCTTCTCATCGAATGAAAATGTAACGTTAAGTCACAGTGGCTGAGCGGCAGTATACTCACGGATTTCACAGTTTGCTCCCACCCAGCCACGTGGGCAGTGGCATGTGTAACCATTGGGCTGGTCCAGGCAGGTACCGGCGTGATGGCAGGGGTTACTGTCACATTCATTGATGTCGATGTCACACTCTTCACCTAAGGAGATGAAGAAAAGCGGCAGTGAGCCAGCTAGCTGCCCCAGCGGCTCTGTCCCCCGTCACTTCTCCAGCTCAGCAAAGATCTAAGGCTGGGGTCATGATCTCCTGCAATGCAGCCCAACTGGCTGTTTGTATAAAGTGCAGAACTCTCCCAGAATTCCAGACAAGGGATCCTTTACTTAAGTAAAGCTTAAAAAAGAAAAAGAAATGGCACCGGTAAAAAGAATCTCCTTTAATCTTTTGAATTCATTATCTGAAGCTGATTCCCATATCTGAATAAACCTTTTGAAGTTTATCGGAAAAACAAACTTGGGCTCCTGATTTTACTAAAGAAATATATTTTGTTTTGGATTTAGTCAGCTGAATCTTATTTGTTTTTCTGAAACTCCGGAAAGCCAAAAAACTCACAGTTTATGGTTTTTTTCTTTTTGTAGCCAAGTGTTTGATTGTGTAAGCCTGGGCATTTGACTATTTTCTGGATAGTTCTAGGTCATAGACGTGTGCCTAGCCTGAGTCAATTATGAAAATGTACTCCTCTTTCCAAATCCCTGGAAATGCTTCTGGGAGGGATTGAAATGCTGAGGGAGAACATCAGGTCCCCCTAAGGAATGACAGTTGTGATGTGGGGGGTGAGTCCAGTCCTGAAATAATCTCTCCGGGGAAATGGTCCCCGAGGGAGGCTCACATCTGCTCCAGTCCGTCCGTCCTTCCCGCATAATGAAAACCGTGACCTGGGGCTCCTGACGCTGCTACACCCAACATTTGGGGGCATCCTTGATCCCCTCAGAGAAAGCCTAGTTTAAACTAACAAACCAGAACATGGGCTGATATCACTGTGGTCCAAAGACCAACTTACAAGAAATAGCTTGTTAGTAGAAGTTACACAAACAAAGCCAACTTTGTGTGATTTTAAAGCGTGTGTATGAGTCAATACAAAATGGGTACACCTCTTAAAGATATCACATCGAAGCTGAAGAAAGGATACATCAAATTGAGGCAATCTTTCTTAAAAGTGTGAAAATGAGAAAAAGAAAACTTTAAATATACCTCCATTTGCTTAGATAAATGTAAAAAGTGATATATATATATATATATATATATTTTTTTTTAAATTCCTAGCATTGCTATAGTCATCGACTAAAACAAAAGAGCAAAATCAAATGTTCTGTCCATTTTCAAAGGCAATATTTCAGTATACACTTGGGAAATTACTTCCAGGCTTACTTAATTAGTATTAAAGAGCTTTTCTGTCTGCCATTGGTTTACCTCGTGTTTATAAAACCACCATATGTCACTCACAGACCATTTTAGAGGCAGAATCTCAAACTAAAATGGTTCACGTCTGTTTCACTTCACACTTTTTTCATACCTGGCAGCGGACTATTTTATTTTTAAAGTAAAATCTGTCAAATAAAACATTTACTACGTCTAGGTCCTACTAGATTGCTTATAATTCAGTAGTGTCTAAGCAAATTTGCTTCCTGCAATAAATATAGTCATTTATATCAATACGAAAGACATGAAATTGACTGCCTCTTACTAACCTCTTTCAAAGGTTTTCTGTCTATTAATGGGGCAATCACTCTGACTGGAAAAGGGCATAGACTAAACTATTACAAATGGCATTACATGGTAGACTAGCTGAAGAGACATATAAACAGGAACGTGCTGAGAAGTGATAAAAGGATGAAAATCAAAGGCCTTGACAAATATACACATGAGTACTGCTTTCCATCCATTTAGGAAGACAAGCTTAATTGAGGTATTTACTAAACAATAGCTTTCTTTTCCTGGCAATCTGAATACTGCAAATTCTGAAATAAGATGCTCTGTTACCTTTTCAGCAATAGCTACAGAAATGGCCTGACTTCTCCCTACTTCCACAGCCTAGCAAAAGTCAAAAGGCCCACCCTGCTTCAGAAGTTTAATGCCAGTGTCAAACCCTTTTAATTCACTAAATTTTGGGCAGTTCTAGAGCTGTCAGTCCAGCCCACCCAGTGCTGCTCTGGTCCAGAGCTTCCCTAGGGAGGTAAATGCCAAGTTCAAGTTCAGAGCAGCCCTAATACATGTTCTGGCTCTTGGACCTCTAAGTGGCTCTAATATAGTTGAGAGAAGTCTAAGATCCTCAGATTTATCTCTTCTTGGGACTCACTGGATTGGTAGGAATAGAGAATGGCAGGAGAAAAATAGGACGAACTTTTTCTGTAGACATTCATCAAATATCTAAGACCCAGGAACCAAAGAACCATGGCCCAGAGAGAGTCCCAAACCTATCCCAGTCTGGCTTTCATCACCACAGTGTTCTTAGAGCTATACTTGGGATTCAGTGACATTAGTTTATGATAAAACTCCATGCCAGTCAGGAGCCCAGATAGCTAGTAGCTATTTCCACAGCATATGTGCTCTGGAGGAACCGTGGAGCAATGCACAGCTCACAGCTACCTTTTCAGATTTACTCTGTTGGCCCATTTTACAAACTAACATGCCTACACTTCTGTTTGAATCAGTTACCCCCCAACTGGCTTGCAGCTGAGGACTTCACTGTGTCACATGCTGGTGGTAAGCATATGGGGTGATTCCGATGATGGGGCCACCCAAGGAAATTTCCAACCAGAAGACTGCCAAAGAGGATTGCTCTTCTCTGCCTCACAGTGATCATGCACTTTGCAAGGTAACTGAAGATTTATTAAGAATTATAGAGACTAATTTTGGTTTCATTTATGCTTCCCTGTATTAGGAGTATTATGTTCTTACATACATTTCAACACCTCACCATTCCATCTCCAAGCAATATGCATTCTAGTTAATTTTAGTAGAAGAGTTCTTAGTACATTATATCACCTTTGTCCACTCATAAATACTTAATAAATATAGTAAATAATAAAAAATACTTAATAATACTTAATACTTAATAATACATAATAAATCTTTATGCTTTTGCTGGCTTAAGCCAGATGACTTTTTCGTTGAGTTGCTTACTTTTTTATTTGAGTGGGGAAAATCAATTACTTCTAAATCACCGTTGTGCTTGAATAACATTTGTAAAGAGAATACAAAATGAAATTTCTACTTGACTAAGGCTGGAAATCAAAGTCTGAACTTTAAATCTTTTCCTATTGCTTTTCAATCTACTACTTTCTAAGAGGCAATCTGTATAGTAGGTATCATCTTTGGTAGTATTTATGCAATTTACAAGTGTACTGTTTAATTCGGTATGCTTTCCTCAGATAAATTAAAGTGAAAAAGATAAGAAGTCAGAAGTCTCTGCTGTCAGTATATCCTTGGGTTAACAGAGCCCACACCAAATGATATCAATGAAAATCATTACAGTCATAATACCTAGTATTAAATCTAAGCCTATTATGTGCCAGGCACTGGAATGGGTACTGTAAGTATAACTCCTTCATACTTCACAAGCATTTTATTCTAGATGAAATGAATCTAATGACTTACTTGGAAGTTCTGCCACAATGGAGCAACTGGAACCTGTCTTGCCCTCCCACTGTAAATAATTACACATGTGGACAAAATATATATTTAAAAAAACACTTTAAGACATTAGACAACAGGCAGTGCATGACTGTGATTGCTAAGAGGAGACAAACGAACAGCTGAGAACCATAACCACTCTGGCATTCTAAATTCTGAACCAATTTAGAACACAATGGTTTCACTGAAATGTGGGGAGTAACTGGAATTTGTGGAGGCTGAGGTAGCTGTAATTTGTAGGAGAGACCACTACAGAAGGTAGAGCCACTCAGAAAAGGAGCATCAGAGATACAATGCATCCCTGAGTTTGTTGCTGAATACTGTGTACGAGTAAGTTGGAACTCCACAGGCGTGGCAAACAAGAGGAAAGATGAACAGTTCCCAAAGCTCACAGAGGACTGGGAAGTATTCAAACTCTCACAGGTTGGAATGCAGACATTTCATTGGCCACCCAGTGCATTATGGGAGGAAAAGGTCACACCTCAGGAGTAGGACATAACTATCCCTAAAGGCTACTAGAGACTCCAAAATACAAAATACAAAAACAAACCTTGACAGGATCAGTCAGGTCAGCAAGTAACTTACCTACCTGCCACAGAAAAGGCTAGCACTTTAAAAAGAAATCCAATCACTCAACAACTTAACTCACAATGACCAGCATTCAAACAAAACAATATCAGATGTACAAAAAAAAAGCAAGAACATGGGACCTATAACCAGAAGGAAAATCAGTCAAAAGACAGAGGTCCAGAAATAACAGATGATGGTGAGTAAAGAAGACATTTGTTCAAAATGTGAAGGAAAACATGGGGAAAATGAGGATAAAAATGGAAGATATTAAAAAAAAAAACCAAACGGAATTTCTAGATGTGAAAAATTCAATATTGTCAAAGATAATATTAAAAGAGAGAGAGAAAGAGAGAGAGAGAGAAAACTACAGACAAATATCCCTCATGAATACAGATGCAAAAACTCTGAACAAAATATTAGAGGACAGGATTCAGCAATATATAAAAAGAATTATACACTATGATCAAGTGGCTTTTATTCCAGCAAGGCAAGATTAATTCAATATTTGAAAATTGATCAATATAATCCATCATATTAATATGTTAAAGAAGAAAAATCATATGCTGATATCAACTGATGCAGAAAAAGCATCTGGCAAAATTCAACACCCATTCATAACTAAAGCTATCAGCAAGCAAGGAAGAGAGAGTAACTTCCTCAATTTGATTTAAAAAAAAATCTAAAAATCCCTATAGCTTACATTATACTTAATGGTGAAAGACTGAATGCTTTTCCCCTATGATTGGGAACAAAGCAAGGATGTCTGCTATCATCAGTCTTACTCAAACTAGAGTGAGGAGTTCTAGCCAGCGTAATAAGACAATAAAAGGAAATAAAATTTATACATATCAGAAAGGAAGAAATAAAACTGTCCCTAATTTCAGAAGACATACCTAAATATGCATAAAATCACAAGGAATCTACACCCCCAGAATCCTA